GGTCCAGATAGACTGAAGGCCTGGGGAGGCAGTCCAGTCAGACTAACGGCTCATTATGCTTGTTGTTTGTTATTTCTATGTGATATGTTTACATATGTAAGTTCTTGGTATTATGGGGGAACTTACTAAGCTGCAGAAGTGTGTATGGTGTGTTTCCATTTTTAGTGTGTGGTGGGTGTGTTTTTGTTTGGCCGGAAAACCGAGAAAAGGCCACCGCCACCACCACCACCGTGAGGTGGTGGCAGCCACCCTCTACCTCCGCTAGCCACCACAAGGGTGGTTGTGTGGGTGTGTTTATCTTATTGTGTATGGGTTATTTCGAGTTATTGCATTACATAATTGTAATTCGTGACTAGTATAATAAAAAAAACTCAAAACCACCATCGTGAGGTGGTGGCTGCCACCTTCCGCCGCTACCAGCTGCCGTGTTGGGTGGCGTTGTGCTTTTGCTTGTGTTTAGTTGCTTTTGTGACGCTTGGACATATTCGGACTAGAACCATAACCACCACCATGAGGTGTTGGCCGCCGCCGTGAGCCGCCGTGGACCAGCACTACCCGAGGTGGTAGTAGGTGGTGCTCGACTTATGAAACCCTAGTAGGCCTACTGAAACCCTAATTGATCTAAAGACTTAGCTTTTGGGCCTAATTGGGTTGTGATTGAGTTTCAAACCCTAATTAGGTTTTAGAAAAGCCTAATTTTGGATATATGAGTTTTGGATTGTCAGGACTCGCATTTTTAGATGATCGGATTGGGATTATGTATTAAGCCGACAACACTACATGATTGACCGAATAGACTAATGGAATTAATGTATTAAGTCCTTAATGGGTTAAGTGGGAAACACTTAACCCTAATCATCATTTTATGTGAAAACCCTAATTTTACTTGGGCTTTCAGTTGGGCCTTTCTATTGGGCTTTGGTGATTGGGCTATTGGTGGGCCATCCAAGAACAATCATATGGACTAAAAATATACAGATGGGCTTTATGGTAAGGCCCATGTGAGGGTTTTGGGCCCAATTTGGAAAATTAGGCCATAGATGGGCCATAACTGGGTCCTGAGGATTATGAGATGTTGGACCATTGGAATACCAAGTGTTAGACCAAGAATAAATGGTTGGGCCTTAGGGTAAGACCATGTAAAGGTTTTGGCCCAATTTGAAACTGGAGCATATTTTGGGCTTTGGTTCATTATTAGACTTTTGGGCCTTTGGATTAGGCCTTGGACTTGAATCATGATAAGTTAGGGGTAAAGTAGTGTTTTACGCCAAGCATGGACTTATGGATATGTGTTGCGACCTAATTATTAATTGGGTGTTATTTTGATGTTGATATTTCAACAGCTAGCTTGAGAGGTGAGTTTTCTCCTCTAGGATCGGGTCGAAGGCACCAATACCGGGCCGTTTATGTATGGTAGTGTATTCTGGAACTAGGTCCGATGCCGGGGTTAGCCTGATGTAGATTGCATGTTCTAGACTTCAATCCGATGTCGGGGCAAGCCCGAGGAAGGTCTAAGCTTTCTATACTTCAGTCTGATTCCAGGCGGGGCACGAGGAAGGAATGTATGTTTAGTTATACTTGTTGTCTTTGTGATACTTGTATGTGCCTGGTATGGAGGTGAGTATGGGCGAGGACCCGTATCTGATCACTAGCTGAGTGTGGATGGGGTTCCATATCTCATTATTAGCAGAGTAAGGGCGGGGCCCAAGATAGGCGAGGCCTTGAGACTAGCACTTATAGTGTTGTGTTTGATTGTTATGTACTAGCATGATTATGGTTATATGTTTGTATGTGTATAGCGGGCAGCGACCAGAGACAGTCAGGGCCTAGTGGAAACAGATATGTATATCGAGCGGGGCTCAATGCCAAGCGGGGCCTGATGTCGGATTCATTCAATGTCGGGTGGGGCCCAATGTAGCGGGCGGGGACCGATGTAGCGGGCTAGGCCTAATGTTTGCAGTGTGTGACTATGTGTATGGTATGTGGTAGTTTGAGGAGACTCACTAAGCTTCGTGCTTATAGTTTTCAGTTTTGGTTTCAGGTACTTCCACTAGCAAGAGGAAGAGCTCGAGATCACTGCATGGCACACGCCATAACTTTTTGCCTGGGATGATTTACTCTGATATTTTTATATATGATTTTCATACAGTATTTTGTTATGATGATTTGAGATACATTACTTATGTCTTTATAAGATGATGAATGGTAATTATGGTTTTTATGAATAATTAAAACAAAAATTTTGGATCGTATTTTGGGGATGTTACACATTCACCTTCCCATTGGCTCCAATGTTTCCAGCACAATTGTTGCCTAAATTCACACGACAATCATGCTTGCAATGCCTAACTTGATTGCACTTCCAACAAACCTGATCCTTTCTCTTTTTGTTGGAGTTGCTTGGGACATGGTCCTACTTATGTTTGTTGTATCCTTTGTGGTTTTGATTCCTTTGTTTGTTTTCAACCATATAAACTGAGGGTTGTTTAGATTCAACTTTTCCTTTGGGTTTTTCAGATTTGTCACTTTCCTTCCGAAGAAGATAATCTTCAATACGAATGTGACTAGCAAGTTGAACCAAAGACAGTTCCTCCATTTGATGTTTTAAGTTATGTTTGAAGTCTTTTCAGGATGGAGGAAGTTTGTCAATGATGATTGACACATGAATGGATTCATCCATATTCATACGATGCAGTTTAAAATGACCGTATATGCCAAGGAGTTCATTGTATTGTTCAGTAACAGACCTTGAATCGTCCATCTTATAATTATTAAAGTCACTAACCAGAAAGTTCATGCGAGAAGCATCCTCAGTGATATATTTGAATTCAAGGGTGTCCCACAACTCCTTTGCACACTAGGCTTCATTATGGAAATCAAATAAAACATCATACATACTGTTCAGAATGTTACCTTTGCAAATGTAGTCATCGTTGTTCGACTTCTGTCTCCTCCATATCTCTTCAATTGTCTCAACAACACCTTCCTCAGCCTCCCCTGGTCTTGGAGTAGTTAGCACCTGTTTCAGAGTTGTTAGCATGAAGTGTATCTTCTTCTTCCAATGTCTGATGTCGACCCCTTCGAACTTCTCCAACTTTGCAAACATCATGGTCATCTCGCGGATAGAGTCTCTCATCTCTAGGAACGAGAATACCAGTTCGATTGTAAGAAAGTGTAGGGTTTGTAGTAGAGATCTGGATAACACTTGGATTTTCAGAATACTTTTCAAACATATATTTGTACCCTAGGCGTGGGTTGGAAGAAATTCAACATAAGATAATCCAAGAGGACACTTACGATTCTAGGCACAAAAGTCGTAATCCAAATTACTAGAAGGATTCTATGTTTGTTTGATGAAAAAGAGAGCTTAAGAATTTCGTGTGTCTCTTCTCAAAGGGAAGAGTCGTTTATATAATAAACAACATTAGGGTTTCTCTTAGGGTGGGCCGTGATTGGTTGTTTTGGAAGCAAGCCAGGGAAATCCGGATTTTAATGAGGATTTAGGGTTTCCAAAACTAACGAATTTTGTTAGATTTACCATAATCACCATTAAAAATTTAACTTTCCCACTATGTTCCCATATGTAAAATCCGGAGAGCTTTTGGGGCGCTGCCCCTTGGACCCTGCTAACGGGGCGCCGCCCGTTTGGAAACCCCGGACCAGGGGCGCTGCCCCCGAACACCCGACTTCTAGTCTAATTTCTAACTCGATCTTATGCATGTGTGCACTCCGCACAAACCCATACATATATTAGAGTACAAATTATGAAACCCCTTAGCTCACATTTTAGTTCTAGTTACACAAAATGATATGGTAACACTAAAAGCACCAACAAATCATGCTCATGGGTTTTTGTTATTTTAATTACTTTTTTTAGTTTACTATTTCAATTTATAGCACAAATAATAGTGCCAAAGGATGAAAAAGACTTATCTTCAATCCTTGAAAATAACTTTTGCACATTGGGATATTCTTCAATCCTCAAAAATTGCATTCTTAATTCCTAGTTTTTGCCACTTCATAGTCACAAAATATTACATATAATTGTTTTCGAATGATGTTATTTATTACTTATCGGTAAGCTAAACACCAATAATGAGCAGGCTGTAACATTTGTTTGCAATATTTCTAAATTCCATACAATTTGCAAAAAAGGTTGTATTAGGTTTTTATTTTGATGTACTCGAAGTAAGCAGCCCATAAGATTCCCCAGCAGGGAAAACTCCTTATTTTGATGAATAATATCTTCTTTTAGATGGTATTATTCTCAGCCACTTCACCTCAATATGTGTCTGCATTCATCACTTTGATATCCCTTTCATACTGATATTGTAATGACAAGTTTGATTTGGTTAACTTAAAATTAATCAAGTTCCAGATGTAAAAACCAATGTTGTCACATCATTTTGAAAAAGGAAGATGCAACTAAAATTGGCAAACATATCTATATGTTTGTGTATAACGTACATTTACCTTCCAAGTTTCAAGTACTATACAGTTGCAAAACCAAAATCTTTGAAAAATCATGACTTGTTATATTAAAAAAATAGGGAAATCTTCGGAAAAGTCCCAATATTTTACCCTAGTTTATGAAAAAGTCCCAAACTAAAATTTGTTTATGAAAAAGTCCTAATTACTGGTAAAAATGAAGATTTGACCATATTTCCCTGGTTTACCGGTTTCATTACTTAACCGGTTTTAAAAAAGTCCCATTATTTTACCATAATTTACGAATAAATCCCAAATTATTGTAAAATAATAGGACTTTAATGAAAATAATGGGACTTTAATGTTTCTGAGTAAGTAATGAAACCTGTAAACCGAGAAAATAGGGTCAACACGTCATTTTTACCGGTTTTTGGGACTTTTTCATAAACCAATTTTAGTTTGGGACTTTTTTGTAAATTAGGGTAAATGTTGGGACTTTTCTGGAGATTTCCCAAAAAAATATTATTAATTAGGAACAATCCCATCTATGTTAGTGGGGAATTTTTATATGCATGCGGATACATAGTAGATCTTGTGATATACAAATTCTAATTTGGAAAGATTGTGTTCTTCCTAATTCTCGGGGAACTTCTTGTTCATTTTGCAATTTCTGTCATGGGAGGTAATAGTGGATATTTTAGTTCATAGAATGGTATTTGGTGAATATTTGCTCAAGAATTTCTTAGATGAACTTTTTGATGTATTTTATTTATGCAATAGTACAAATGATTCTATGGGTTAATCCGATCAATATAAAGGTTTTTTTAGGTTAACCAAATAAACTAGTTACTCATTTTCTTGAAGTGGAACTTAATGCAAAAACAGGTTTTACATTTCAAATAAATATTAATCACTTTATAAATAATTCCCATGGCAATGTAGTTGTTTCAACATTGAGCATATTAATTCACATTGCAAAGTTTGGAGATCCATATGTATTGTCTTTAGTTGACTAGAATTCAAGGTATTATTATTGAAGTTTAAATTACTTGATAATACTTAAGTTGCACTTGTAATTATTCAATAATTTGGACTTTATGTAGTTGAGATTGAGGCACAAGTGAAGGAACTGCAGATTCGAAAGCTTATACTTACTTTTTGTGGGACACAAGATAAGTGTAAAACTGTGAAACCAGCATTCATAACTTATGATGTGTGGTTGAGTTTTGAGGCTTATTGGGATACACCGACATACAAGGAGAAACAATAATAAATACAAAAATTTGTGGGAAGTGTGATCGTGGTCGACCCATAAACACAATGGTTGTTCTCGCTGAACTTTCAGAAGTAGTTACACTTATCACCTTCACAAGGCCCTTGTGGATGCCAATATCACCACTTTCTTGGATGATGAAGAGATTGCAACCGGGGAAGATTTCAAACCAGAATTGGAGAGTGCGATTAAAGCTTCTAGGGCTTCTGTCATCATATTGTCAAAAAATTTTGCTACTTCAACATGGTGCCTTGATGAATTGGTACTGATCCTTGAGCAACGCATGACATGCAACCATATTGTTATCCCTACCTTTTATCATGTCCAGCCTACCCATGTCAGGAAGAAACACAGTATCTTTGGAGATGCAATGGCTAATTATAAACAAATGATGGAGGCAGAGAAAATGCAAATAAAAGAAGTCAACATGCTCTAAAGATGGACCAATGGAATAAAGCGCTTATAGAAGTTGCTGATTTAAAAGGGAAGGATGTAAATGGCATGTAACCACTTTATTACCCATATTTCAATATCCCAATTTTGTTTGATTGGAATTAAATCATTTTCTTTAATATCATTATCATCAAATAGGCATATTTTTAATGTATTTAAATTGGATAAAGAAAATGCACAAAATTGATCCTAAGTTTTTGATTATGCGACCTCATTAATTATTATATACAGATTAACCATCCCGATGGTTTTGACACTTTTGCTGTGCATGTATTATTTTATCGTAAATTAGTTTTTTTTAGATAAACTATTTTATAATCTTGATATCTTTTTTTTAATGAAAAGCAAAGTTGAACGGTTTGCTATGTGTCCACTTTTAAGGATACCATACTACCTTCAAATCATGGTGTCTTTTATAGTACATAGTTGCTGTTACTTGCAACTAGTATAGTATAACCTATAACTATTCCATGAAATGTTGTTTAGTCTGGTCGAAACATAATGAATTTTGGTGGTGCTAGTGTTATTATACATAAAAATTATGACCTAAGTCCATTAGATATTAATATTGTTTGAAGTGCATATATAAACTGTTTTGATTTTGATGTGAAAATCCTAACTGAAACAGAGTAAATTATATTTTCCGTCCTAGTGGTATACTGATTTTTATGGATTTGGTCGATAACATATTCTTTTTTTTTTTGTTACACTTTAACTCTTTTTGTCCCTGTGAGCACGTCTACTTTCGGATGTTAAGCCATTTAATGACCATTTTGTCCTCTATTCATCACCACAACCACATTCTTTTCCTCCTCTTCACCACCATTGTCCACCATATCACTGGGATTGTTGTTCCAGTAGCACAAACCACTGGCAGTTACATCGCCACCTATTCAATTCGATTATACGTATTCTCCCATCTTCTCTCATCCATCTGCAACCATTGGAGAAAAATCGGAACTTTAAATCCAAACTTCACCTGTGATAAAAACAACACAACATAATTAAGAAAGAAAAACATAATTTTCAATTCGAAGGGACCTAAAAGACATCCAATCTGGAGCATTAAGAGAGAAAGAAAAAAGGGTTTTATGCCTGCTTGAAGTAAAGGGTTATTTATATACATCATAATCATCATACATAGAACAGCATGACGTATAGATGATGATGTGGGCAGTAGGTGTAGTAGCCATAGATTTTTCAAGAACCTCCTCCGGATGTTCTTTAATTCTCAATTGGTTTTTCAATAATTAGTTTACATCTATTGACTAACGGTGCTTGTCTCCTTAACAATAAAGATTACACACTAGTACCTGAGGGACCAAAATAGTGAATATGTGTTAGAGCAGGTCTGCACATGATTAAACACACTCCACAATTGAAGAAAGAAAAACACGAACAGGGGATCAAGTTTTTGGGGCAATTTTTTTGGATTTCTTTAGTGAGTGAATAAAAATTACTAAGTTACAAAAATAACTAGCTACTAGCCTCTATTTAAATAATGCAAAACGTAGTCCAACTTTCCATCTCCTCCTTTTCGATATACCCGACCATGGTTGACTATTCCTTTCACATACCTTAAAATCTGTTTTACAACTTTTAGGTGTCCTTCTTTTGGCAGTTCCATATATCTACTAGCTATTCCTACTGCATAGCTTAGATTCGGCCTTGTGTGTGTCACGTAGCGTAGGATAGCTTTCCCAAGTTGCTAATGTATAATACCCCATTGCATCTGTTTTTTTAATGCTTCAATCTCATCTTCGCTTGACCTGGTTGCAATCAGGTCATCTACATACACTCCAACTATGAACACCGACTTCTTCTTGTGCTATTTATACACAAATTTCTCACACCTTTTGAAACCCAATTATTATAATATATTGTCTATGAAGATTCAATGCCTATGGCGCTTGTCGCAAGCCATTAAGGGTCTTGTTCAACATGTAGATCATATGTTCTTTTCCTGTTATAATGAAAGCATATTGTTGAGAAACATAGACTTCTTCCTGCAACTCGCCTAATAAGAATGTTGAGTTTACATCAACATGGTGGACTCTCTACAACTTTCTTTTGCTTCCAGAGCTAAGATCATTCGAATGGTTTGTGACATTACGTGCCTTATGTTTTGTGACATTACTTTCAGCATCCTTTTTTTAATATAAAACCCGTTTTAGTCCAATAGGTTTTTGACCAATGGGTAATTTAGTCAATATCTACGTGTTATTCTTCTCAATTGACCCCAATTCATTCTGCATTGAAATTTGCCAATTTCGGTCTCCTGATGCTTCTTGCTATGTCACTGGTTCCTCAATAGTAAACGTAAGTTCCTGATTAATTTCAATCGGTTCCATTTCAACATAAATATCAGATAAAAACTATAACCTTCAACAGGTGTGTGATCGAATGTTGAAGGGCGTGCCTGACCCGATTGATGGTGCCGACGGTGTTTCCCATGGTGACCATGGATCATCTGTATCGAATTGGGGAATATGGTTCTGAGACTCTCTACCACCGGTAATTGGCCTGTGTCATGCCTTCTAAGGTGGAGTGGGCTGACATCCATCTAAACCATTATGTATTCAAAGTGGGCTCATTAACTTTGACTTTTGCGCACTTCCCTACAGACACATCCCTAGAGACACGTATCTTATTCAGACTAGGATTGAATAAGCAAGGTTCCTTGCTACCGGTTTGTTCCCAAGTACACCATCTTCATAGTCCGATCACTTAACTTCATCTGGTGGGTCGCCAAGTTCTTCATTTTAGACACACAACTAATGAATTTTAGATGGTTGAGTGATTGTTTTCGTCCCTTCCTGGCCTCATACCGGGTCATGTCTTTTTACTTCCTTGTTAACATTCGATTAAGGATATACACTGCATGTCAAATGGCTTCTCCCCATACGTCATCTGGTACGCTCATAGCTTTGAGTAACCATCTTGTGGTCTCCTAAATAGTCATGTTCTGGCAGCTGTGCCGTTCTGCTATGGGGAATACGGTAGTCGTCTTATTCCTTCTCTTTCATAGAAATCGTCAAACAATCGAGAGTTAAACTCACCTCCTCTTTCTCACTACTAGAAACTTGAGTTTCAGCTACGGATTTAGAGATCAAATCTGTAGTAAATTTTAGGCTTATAGAGAGGGAATTACGAGAGATATGCGATGGTTTAAACAATTATTTTATTTATTCAACATTTAGCATTTTAGAGAGTGTTTAGCGAGGGATCAACTACGGATCTCACAAGTATTTATCGACGGACTCTTATCCCTCGGTAATTGGTGGAAAACGAAGGCATTTGGCGAGGGTTCAACGAGGGAAAAAAAGATCGACTTTTTGGCCATCCGGTACGTGTTTAGCGAGAGAATACCGACAGAGCATACGCACGCTATGTTTTTAACATTGACGATCTCTCGCTAAAATTAACGCTCCAATTCCAAACTTCGTGTAAGTTTTCTTCTGTCCCAAATCAGATTTGTCACTCCAATTAAACATGCTCTCACCCAAATCTGAAATTGAGGACACTCTCGAGTTGCAGCTTGCTTAACCTAATCTCACCCTCTCTGTTCAAACAGATGACGACAAGAACAGACCATTGCAGCTTCCGATTCCGACAGCCTCCACAATTGTAAAATCTGAAATTATTCTTCGTTAACTTCCGATTCATGTAAATCTCTTGATTTTATTTGCTTTAGTCATATATTAGGTTAGGTTTGATTTAGTTGCACAATATATTACGTTAGGGTTTAATTTCTCCATTTTTTGCCTTTTTCAATCGTTGTTCCTCCACACAATACAATGCCCCTGATATGCAAAGTTGTTAAAGCTGGAAAATCCCAAGGTGTTTTGGGCGTAATATTGCAAGCTCCAATCACAATGCTAGTTAGTGTGAAATGTTTGACTGAATTAGAGGTAAATAGGAAAGGAGGCAGAAGAGGAACATGGACATTATGAGCATAGACAGGGGCATTATTACTCTGATAGCCATTGGAGTCTTTCAAGTTCTGTTCCTCTCTGAATATACAACATATGGAATTCAAAGAAATTAATGCACTTTGGTATGACCATAAAAAGCCTTCTGCTCTTACAATGAGAGATATACACAAAGACATAAACACACACACACACACACATTAACTCAAAGATGAAACACCAACACCACCCATTAACTCCCCTGGTAAAGGAGAAGCTCCAGGAGTTGAAGGTGAAGGAACAGTAAAAGGCGAGTTAGCAGGATTAAACATATTATGTTCCTCAATCTGTGGAGAAGCGTGTTGAGAAATTTGTGGGGACCCCACCTGGGATTAACTGAGTTGAAAACGGACTGCCACCTGGCTTCATTTGTTGGTGGTACCCCACCGCTGTCCCGCCACCTATTGAAAAGTCCCTGGTTTCACACCGCCCATTTGATGTTGTTGTTTGAGTTTCATATCATGAAGCTGAGTCATTTGGTTAACTTGAGTCCCCTGTTGTCTTAATTGCTGTTGTTGTTGTTTCTGAAGAAATTGTTGCAGCATTTGGCGATTTTGAAATTGCTTCAGTTGTTGGCTTTGAAGAAGCTGTTCTTGTTGTTTAATATGAAGCATGTTTGGGTTCGGCTGTAGGGAACCCATAGGATTCATGTTCACTTGTTGGGCCCCACTCCCACTCATACATTGACCTGGGTCAAGACTAGAAGTGGGCTTCATTGAATTCATCATAGTTTGTTGAGAATTTGAACCCCGGTTAGAGAAGACATGGGATTTCCATTTTGCTGTGAGTTTCCCTAATAACAACCTGAATGCACCTTAATACTATAAATACCAGTAGACTAGAATAACATTCCATATTGCTTCCACAACTCTTCCTCAGTTTCACATTCTGTTTTAAAGCTTATATTTACCTAGTCATGGTTCAGTTCCAGATATACCCTTGTGTTTTTCCAAGTTCTTTGAGTCAATCTTGAGCACTGTTAATTCCATTTTCTATCTGATTTTAGTTAATT